AGCCGAATACTGAAGGTCCAATAATCACTTCTATTTGACGACGGAATGATTCGAACCAGGTTTTGAGGTGGTTTGCAAGTTAGCCTCGCTGCTGGCTGTCCGGCGCGTCCACAGATGGTAGATAGGGTAACGGCCTTCAGTTATCGAAATAAACAAATTCTTAGGTCTAAATAATAAACAGTCGCGGGCCTGCAGCGACACTGTTTCCAGAGTGCAGCGGGCTGAGGTCTGGGACGCAAAAGACATTATATAGTTTCAAAAAGCCCGATTACGGCACTGTGACATGGCGACCGCGAACCGCCATTAAATAATTTCGCTTGCCACCGCTGCCTCGTGATTAAGCTATTGAGCCAAAGCGCTAGAAGAGACAATCTTGAACAAAACATCCGAACGTCCGTTGAGAACCCGCCCGTACTCACAATACCCAAGAAACCTCGTGAAGACTATGTCTGTATGGTTGGTTGTCAAAAACGAACTGCGCATTTAATGTCTATCTTTTTAATAGCTCCTTTAATGCATTCATCGGTCATCTTATTTCTAGCTGGTTTGTCAATATAAATTCGTAAATGTAATTGACTATCTCGGTGATCGGGATATTTGGAAAAATTTGCACTGGACGTTCGCACAGAAATAACCTCAGTAAACAAGAGGAAGCTCACAAGTCCTGTGGTACTACCGTAACTTAATTTTCTGCAGGTTTGTAAATCAGTCACTGCGCCATATACAGGGCATTTTAAAAATAAAATGTACGGTAAGCACATTTCCATTTTTATTAGGAATACTACAGGGGTCGACGCGTCCCTATCTCATCTAATGTGCTGGATATAATAGTCAACATCAGTGGGCCCTTCTTTCAGTTACCGCAACCTAAATTAATCCGTACTTCACTAGCGCCTCTGACACTGTACTTTGGAAACTCCAAAGATCAAGTAAACGATTAGTTAGTCCGCCGTCTTTAAAACTTGCTCCTGTGTTTCCTGTGTTGTCATTTTACCGTCAGTTTATGTGCGTCCCAACTTTGGATGCCGGTAATGTTTGGGATT